AGTCTCTCTGACCATCAGAGATTGTCTCTGCCTTTCCTACAGAGACTGCCTGGGAACGTGCATCTGCAGGAAACACAGCAAACTCCAGTGCAAAGAGCAGTTYAATATTTCTGCCAGTGCTGAGAGTGTGCTCAGCTCACTCACACTGCACTGAATTTACTGACACTGCCCTGGTGATTTTAACACCTCGCTTATGCACAGCTTCCACAGGAAATCTTGGTCCCCCAAAAGAGTGGAGAGTCATCCCAGACCCTCCTCCTCTCAAACGAGGGGTTTGATCCCCTCCTGCTGCAGTTGGTGACCAATGATTTCAGGGTAGAGGATTCAGCTCCAATAATTATTTTKGGGGCAGAACTAGATACAGCAAATCAGAGGGTTTAGTGCTCAGGGTAGGGAGCTGGGGAAGGAGAGTCCTGGCCCACAATTTACTGMAGTTCTCCAAATTAATATTTTTTATATGGTGATTGACTGCAGTACAAAATATAAGGGCAAATCTCAGTCATTTTTTAGGTCTGGAAAGCCTCAAAAGAATGTAAAATTATCAAGTCTTGAGATCTGTGTAGAGCTTGGAATACCAATTGTGCATCTGAATGAAAACAGCTGTAAATAGGGATTTGCTCTTTAACTCTTTCAAGAATAAAAGATCATGTTAATATATGTAGATTAGCTGAGAATATGATTAATTTTTTTAATATTTCATGGGATGCATTGTTGGTTAACATCTAAAGGAAATATTAATTCTGACTCAGACAAATGATAGATGTCCTTTTGTCTTTTCATGCATCTTTTTGATTCCTTGACCTTTCCTGAATTATCTATTAAAAAAAATAAGAAAAAAAAAAAGAAAAAAAGGCAGAACAGAACACTTTGATATATAATTCTTGGTGTAAGCCAAACAAGATTACTTATTCTTGTTAATGAACTCTAATTTTTTTTTTAATCTTGATGTACATAAAGCATTTTTTTTGTTTCATAGAACCACCAGGAACCTATTTCAGTGCATTAATCTGCTTGTCAACATAGATTGCACTTTGCAGATGATTGCCCTCTCTCTTTTAAACAATAAATTGAGATTGTGACCCTTTGCTTGCAAAATAAAAGGGATAGACTCACAATCTGGATTTCCAGCTTATTTGTACACAAGTTTGTAAGGCAGCAAACTGAACTGGGCTGCTCATTTCCATCAGTCTGCTGCACTTTTGTAAGAGTATCCRTCTCACTACCTGTTAGCTGTAATGTAATCTATCTTAGAAGAGTGTCAGCTCCTTGTATTTCAAACAATTACATTCAAAGAAAGCAAGACACAACCTCCCTCTCTTTCATCAGTTTTTAAAATATCATTTGGAATTTYCAAAGATACTTATGCCCCAAGTCARAGRAAAAGCACTTTTTCTAAGCAGAACYATGTTTTGTAGAGGGTTTAATCCTATTTCAGGCAATTTCACCAAGAAGAGGCTATCTCTAAACACGTAGGACTAGACATTCCAAAATCACTCACCCACAGGAGGGAGCTCATGGGCTTCTCTTTTCTTGCATCAGAGACCAAGGACTGAGATTAGACAGGCAGACAGCAGAGCATCGGACTATTCCTAGAGAATATTCCTATTCCTCTCACCTTTTATTTCCCTCCTCTTTCACAAAAACATTCTGCCTGCAAGTTACACAGGGCTGCCTGAGCTTCGGGGGTTCATGTGCCAGGACTTGGTGAACAGGTCCCAAGAAAGGCTCATGCAAAAGCCCAGCACAGACTGTGGTGTACCATGGGTGTGAGAAGATTTTGCCTCTCCTTTACTCCATGAACCGGAGACAGCAGCTTAAAAAAGCCCTGATAAAGGCCAGGGAGAGAGCCAGGCTCAGGAACTCTGGTAAAAGTTCTTCTAGGTCAGCAGGCAGGGTGAGGAAATGTAAGGAAAGTCAGAGGGGACACGTCCAAGAAAGCAGCGCATTATTCCATTTAATGATTCATATAAAGATTGAACCAGAAAAGTGGCTTTGAAGCTGGGAGCAAAATAATTGAAAATGGCTATGCCATAGGCTCTTTTATTCTGCCAAACCACAGATTATTTCTGATAGGCACAACCTGTGGGGGCATTGTAAGGCACTTCTTACAAGCAGAGGGTACCAAGCACCAAAGCTCTGGTGTTTGCCTCTGGTGTCCATGTGAGGGAGAATGATGGAGGTTAAAAAGATAATGGTACAGAAATTATAAGGGAAAATAGAGTTCCTTCTCTCTGGGCATAACATGGTCAGCATGTATGAATTCCAACACCATCTAMGGGGGACTAAACAGAAGGTAGAGTGGGGTGGAGATGCTACAGCCAGGCTCTGTGTGGCGGGACCTCTCACCCCCTGGTACAGCAGAGGTTTATCTACTTCCACTGTACAGCTAAAGTCACCCCAAAATTATTTATTTGTCATGTGATGAATTGKCTCAGCTGAGAACCTCCTTAGYCTGCAATAAATGTGCTTTCTTGAATGGTGGGAACAGTAGAAACCAAAATCAGTGACTGACAGACACAGCACTTATAAAATTATAAAAGACCGTTATGATTTTCATGAAATCAGGAATCTCTCATACACTCTTTGAGTATGTAGAGAGTGGAGATGTTCACCTCAAGTTCCTTCCCCAGGGGATTGAGAGGAATTAGGAGATTCTCTGACACCACTGTAATCCACTGGTAAGTGACATTGACTCCTACTCTATGCTGTTTCTTTCCTAGATGTAACACAGGTACCTTGATTATTGTGCACTGTATTTTTATCTACTAGTAGTCCTTTTTTGCTCTATTCCTGTGTACAAAGTAGTCTGTTTAAAGTCTTATGTTTGTTTTTTTTAGGCTATTCCATAAATAATTAATGTTATAACAGGCCTGATCACTCATTATTAAAGAATTTGCCAAGAAGAGTGGGTTTTGGGGTGCTGGTCACCCAAATAAAGCTCCTGTCTACTGTCAGGGGCCTGGGCAGAGGCAGGGACTTGTCCAAGCTCTCCTCTCTTGTTGATAACATTCTGTTGAAACCCCTGCAGAGGAAAGAACTTGGTGGTGCTTCCTGATGAACCCAACAGCACCTGAAAGCCCAGGGGTTTAAAGATGTCCTGCTGTTGAATCAGCAGCTGTGGTGAATCCTCTCTCCTGGGGTGAGAACCGTGCTCTGTGCATGTTGGAGGATCTCCAGCTGGCTTTTACTGGGAATTAGAGCTTGATAGGATATTGCTTTGAATTAATAGATTGTTTGAGTGGCCTTTGCAGTCAGCCACAGGCAATCCTCAAACCTTAACCTGTCACAATAGAATGTTATTCCATGAACTGTTAAAGTGAGTCCTTCAAGGGTGCTGGCGGTCACTACCAGTGGATAAAGGTGTGGAGACCTAGAAGGGGATTTCTGTGTTTGGTGTGTAACCCTGGATGGGTGAGCCCAACCACCCTGTGACCCAGCAGGACAGTTCAGAGAAGAGCTCGCACAATGGGACACTGACAGACTGGTTGGGCTCAAAATATGGATTTACAACTGACTTTGGGGCATTTGGTTCTGAAGAATAGCTCCTCCTTTTCTTAAATATTAATATAGAGATTGCCTGACAAAGCCAAAAGGAGAAATTGAAAGTTTGATTCATTGTTTAATATGAAGATGTGGATATTTGTAAGGGTTTTTTGYTGTCACTGATAATTTCTGTTATACTCCTTTCATGCATTTATTTGACTCAACGGTTCAATTAAATAATGTTGAATTCACCTCAACATTTCTGCCTGGCAACAGCCTTTGAGGTCACRAGGTGACGATTTCATTACAGGAACTGAGCAAAAGTGGAAGGAATATGGGGACTGAGAGAGGGGATATAAAAGCATTTTCTGAAACACAAATTTCCTCTGTGAGGCAGATTTGAGCAACCACGGTGCTGGCACCGTGCTGGCGAGTGGGGTGTGGGTATAAATACCAGCCAGGCTCTTCTCTCATTACAGATATTCTCCTTTTTGCTAAATAGTCTCTGCTGAGCCCTGCTGTCTCTTCTTACCTGAGSACCATGATCAGGGCTGTGCTGTTCTGCCAGGTCCCATCCAACCATTTCAGCCACTTGCAGCACCCAGATTTCATGTCAGAGTCCCTCCATTTTACACTGGCAAAGGAGAGCAGTGGCAGCACGACCCAGGGGAGGTGCTGCTGGATATAGAATTATCCCTCAAACATTCCCATTCCTGGGATAGCACTGCCTGTGTGCAGCAGTGTCTGTACTCTGAGAGGTCATGCATATTTTGCAGTTCAGTTATTCAGCTATCAAAGGTATTGCTGACGTTTTGRGCAAGGACTGGAATTTGCTATATATAATTAACAGTAGGGGGTGGTGCTCTTTTGGATAACAGGATCTTTAGATGCTGGAGGTTGAAASAGAGTGGAAAAGGGGTGCACATATGATCTTTCATATAAAGCAGTCTGGTGATAATGCCCAGCTCGTGCTCCCTGCGCTCGCCCTTTGATGTTCAGACTGTGCATCAGATGTGAAAGGAATGAGTGACAGTCCTGGGACGACACATGGTGCCTAACGAGCTCACTGGGGCTCATCACTCCCCTTCTGACATTTCAATCTGAGCCTCTCAGCTCCTGGCAGGTGGATTCACCCTTTTGTTTGCCCACAGCTCTGTGCCAGCGAAAGCTGACGGTCTCCAAGCTACAGAAGGTAGAGAAAGTTCTTCCATGTGTCACAAACCTCTCTCACCTGTGTCTGTGGTCACACCYATCCCCATCTCTTCCCACTGCTGACTCCATCCTGCTCCAGGATTTGGCCAAGCATCTGTCAGGCCAGCATCTGTCACCTCTGCATTCACATTTCACACACATTCAGCGTGAGGAGGCAGAGGCAAAGGAATGAGGCACAACTCCTGTAGCTGTGCTTTCTGCAGACCTTGGGGATTCCCTGTCACACACACCACATGGCATCTGCTGCAGATAACAGGATGGAGTGGAACAGATGGGCTGAACTCTGTTTTTGGAAAGGACTTCCTTGCCATGGGGACATTTCTGTGCATGGGAGCCAATCCAGTCTGTCCCAGAGAACGACTGTGGGACTGTGCACGTGGGTGCTGCTGACCCYAAATCCTTACACAGCAAAGGTGCTCTCAGCACTTTCATGAGTTCTGCCAAAACCATGGCTCAGCCAGGTTTGTGTGAGCAGCACAGACATGCTGCTGGCTGGATATGCTGCTGTTTAAGAAGAAAATAACTGTAATCTGACATAGGAATGTTTTGTTGCTTCCTTGCAGTCACAAGAGACTGTGAGTGAACCTTCCTAAAACCTCATGTTAATGGAGCAGGGACAGAATTTCTTTGAAAACACCGAATATAATTCCCAACCTTTGGATCCCCTGCTGTTTTGAGATTTAGGATTTGGGGATTGCCTCTCTCTAAAAGGCCAAACTAGTATTTGTCCAGTGACCTAAGAGCTATAGGTGAAGTCCTAGGTTTAGTCATCATTTTGGTGGCTGTGGTTCTGTACATCAACAGGTCTACTCAAGTTAAGAAGTCACTCCATTTAGTATGTGGCATTTTAATATTTGAAAAGTTTTTAGCTTTTGAATAATGGCTTTTGGGACAGATGTGATGTGTCACATTTCCAGGCTTTTAGAAGGGAATAGTGAGTCTCATGACYTTTGCCTTCCCAAGAGTTACTCAGCCACTGAACTCTGATGACACACAGTGCAAATAATTGTTTCAGCTAGGCTGGGTGTTCCAAGCATGGCATTTCATATGCAGTTCACTTTTCAATGGTTTATTTGCAATTTCTGCTAAACCACAGTTAGAGTTATCCAGCATTTGGCCGCTAGATCAGTAACAGATGACCCTTGCCAACAGCACAGTTTGTTTTGAAGGCCAGTACGACTAGAAAACTGAGAATAAATCRATAGGTTAAGAGGTTGTCTGTGGGAACTGATGCCCATCCTCTGTCCAAATGTCAACTCCAGATTGCAGTGCCGTCATCTGGCTGACCTTCTCTGCTCCCCCGCTGCCCATGGCCTAAAGTAAAAGCACCTCTCTGTAGTCAGAGCTGAGTCTGAAAAAGAAGAAACTCTCAAAAATACCCTTTCATAAAAAAAGAAAGGCTTCTTAAACACAAGTCCTCACGCTTTTGCCTTTGTCACGGCCCACACTGCAGAACCAGCACCATCCAGCAGCCCGGGATCTTTTGTACTTCTGGTCTCAGATCCAGTCCAGCCTGCTTAGTCCTGTCCTAGCTGCCATGGTGTGCTGGCCTGAGCTCAGATTATTTGTCGGGCGTGTCCCCGTGTCCCCGTGTCCCCGGTCCCTAGGAGTTGCACTCCTCGCAGTGGCAGGACAGGATGTAGCGGTAAGTGGCCGTGAGCCGCATTCCCCCCGAGCAGCGCAGCCTCATGGCCTTCAGCTTGGAGCTCTGGGGCCGGCAGCAGTGGCAGCTGGAGCGGAAGGGCTGCTTCAGGACCGTGCTGAAGGAAACCATGGGCTCCGAGCGCGACGTCTGGCTGCAGCGGCCCTCGCAGCGAGCCAGCAGCACCATCTGCAGAGGAAAACACGGGGTGAGCAAAGGTGTCCCAGCACACAGTGACACCAGATGGGTGCCTCCTTCCAGCCTGGATGGGCTTTGGTCCYTGCATCCCAGCCCACAAAAACCATGTTTTGCCCCTGGGCTGCCTCTGAGAGAGCGGTGGAGATGACATGGGCAGGAGGAGAAGCCAAGCTCCTCCTGAAGCCCCTGGCAGTGACACCAACAAGGACTGCAGGACCTGCACTGACCTCAGGGCTCCAAATGACCACAGCCAGCATTGCTTTCCAAACACTGTGATTGCAACTTGCTGACCCCAGATCCGTGACAGCCACCTCTTAAATCATCACCCAGGCTGATACTTTGGTTGGGTATTTACCAGTGTTTCGAGTATACACACCAGTGATCAGCAGAACAGGTTCTCAGGGACAGAAAAATATCTCAAGTTCTTAGATATACAAACACATAAAGTAGAAATATAAAGAATATGCTCAGTTTTATTGCTTTAAAGTGTTTCTAGCTCACTCCTTTGACAAAGATCCCCTTGAACATGTATTTGCAGTTATATGTGTATCTATGTATCATTTCATCAGCTGTATCTGTACAAAATGTGCTGCACAGTACGAGGCAGTGAAAATGTTAAAAAGTTGAACTGGTTGCCAAATGTGAGGGTTCCCTTGTGGTATTTTCCAAAAGCAGTGCAGGCTCCACATTTCTTGTGCTCTGTTCACCCTCTGAGCTGTGACCAGAACAGGGTAATTTACACAACAGGAGGCACTGAGGAGGGGAAGCCTACGGGCAGTCCCCTGATCCCCACCAGCCCATGGCTGAGCAGAGGAGATGGATAGAGCATGAAGCACTGTATAAATCTTGGAAAGGACCCTCTAAAGCTCTGCAAATGATGTGTTTGAAACAGCTGTTACCACCTTGATAACRGGTGTTGTACAAGTTTGAACAGACTCCAATACTTTCACGGGGACAGRAATATTAAATCCATGTCAGCTAATTTTGCTTAACCAACATAAACTTYAATATCAGCTTATTTTATCATCTAAAGTAGGCAGTAAAACCATTATAAGTCTTTCCTATAACCAAGGGAGAACATTACATTTTAACCATGCTCCATGTGTCTCATGGTTATTTTTTTTCCAGACAATCTGAAAGAAAACTATGAATGTGACAGCAAATATTTTACAGTGTTAAACATTTTTGGGCTTCTTTCCCTACGTATGCTCAGCTGGCTGCAAATCTCCATGGCATGCAAGCAGATGCATCAAAAGTTTAACTTTTCCCTTTAGTTAGAGTCATAAGGAAAGATGAGATAAGAGAGAGAATATTCCTGAAATCACGTAGGAAATTCCAGMACTTTCAGTGCCTTGGGAAAGGCACTGATCCTTCATGGTACAATGATTAAAAATTATTCTTCCRAGAGCACTTGCATGCTAAGTGTTTTCCTTGAGAATGTATTCATGTATTAATGTATTAACATATTAATATATTAATAACTGCACTTCCAGTCAGCACAGGTCACAAGGAAGATGTCTTCACAAGCTGATGATCTGTGCTTGGCAATATCTTGCTTCTTAGTTAAATTAAGAGATGGGTTCTTGTTGCTGTCTGACAAATTTGCCATCCTTTCAGATTTGTAGCATAAATTTATGTTCCCCTTCCTGAGGTACTGCATATTCATATATAAATTAACTCATCTGTTTGTACTGATATGGTGGGAAGGGAATTTCAGTGTATTGTTGAGTCACATCTGASCTTTGGAACTATCATCTACACCAAATTCCTTAATAGCACAGTCTTTTATGCATAGGAGAACATGAAAGGTACAATCACTACAGAGCTGGCATCCGATTACTCCCAGGTTAAGACCCACTTTTTTCCCCTTGGTGAAGAAATTTCTTCAGAAATGCCAGTAAAAATAAAACAAGCCTTCAAGAAACTGACGGGACTAGAGAAGAGTAATTACAGGGTAGAATTATCTGATGTGATGATGATATGTGTGGCTCAATATATTTCTCATAAACTGGCTTCCTAATGCAAATCCAGSCAATATTTAGTCAATATGTCACTGTATTTATAATTTATAACTTACAATTGATAATTTCTAAACCTTGTCTTAAAAAAACTCGGTTTAGTCCATGGAGGCTCTAATTCTAATCTTGAATTTTGCTGGCTACTTAGTTTTTCACAAGATTAAGGTCAGTATTTATATAAAGTAAAATCACACTGTGTTATTTTTAGGCCTTGTTTTTGGATGGCAGTGTAAACTCTTACAAATGGCACAAAACCAAGGTTATCAAGTTGAACTTTCAGGTTATAAAAAAAAAAAATCCAATTTCCCATTTTCATAGTTTTCTAACCCTAAAGTCCTAACCAAAATTTACCTTCCTCTTCATAAATCCAGAACAGCACCAGTGAATTTTGGCAGGTGTGCAAATGAGCTGGAAATAGCATGTGCTTTGAAAGCTTTGCTTTGCCTTTTAATCAATTGCACCAGCTGCTTATTGCTTCGTGTACTGCAGTGCAACAGAGATTATCACCTGAATAATTTGCAATTGTGTGATGGCATAGCACAACAATACAGTGGGTGTGTATTTATAGTAAAACATGTGGGCATTTTATAACCTGACACCTCTTGGCTCCCCTTGTCCCCTGCACATGAGTTTGTGCGTGTCACCTTGCCAGGCTGGACCCACAGCACAGTGTCCTACAGCAAGGGAACCACGTGGGTCTATGAACAGCTAGGGAAGAATGTTATTATCATTATCATTATCATTATCCTTATCCTTATCATTATCATTGTCATTATCATTGTCATTGTCATTATCATAATCATTATCATTATCAACTTATTTAAAGTCAATGGTCTCATAGGTACAAAAAAGAGCAACCTGAATCTGAAGCAATATTTGACTCTAATAGTTCTGAGCTGTATTCTGGATATCCAATCCAGGAATTGTGTACTGATTTGTTGTTAATGGTGTTTGTAGCGCTTTTTTCTGCACCTTCAGCAGAAGCTGAAGCCCCAAAGCAGCTGGGCTGAGGTGCCTGAGAACAGATTTTCACACAGTTCTTGTGGCCTGGCTGCCAGCAGGATCACAAGCAGCAAGATTTACYGAAAATCTCCTGAGCTACCTCAGGAGTAAATGCCTTCAAACATCTGCTAAATCTTTCTTCATCTGCTCYGTCTCTCTGGGCTGGATTCCTCAGTGCAAGGCTGTCAGTGGTAGCACACTCCTGGCACATCTGGACGAAGCATTCATGACAGCCAAAACTGTAATTTAGGAGGCTCTGGCTGCAGCAGTGAGGGAACCCAGCACAGTGATGGAGACCAGGGATGTCCATGACAGGGGTCAGGACAAATCCAACACAGTCAGGAAAGGTAATACCTCATTAATTGGTACAGATATTTCCTTGAAGACAAAGGAAAACTGTTTGTCTGGAACAAATGGCCTTCTTCCATCCCTTTTTTGTGTCTCTTTTGTACATTTAGTTACTTTAACTATGTTTCCAAAGGATTTGGAATACTGTTTTCATTGCCTGCCTGAATCCATAAGCAAAAGGGATTTTAATGATTAAATTATCTTGGTTGGGTGTTTAACAAAACCTCTTCCCATGTGGGTACAATTGGCAGCCTCCACAGAGAAGCACAGTGGACACAATCCTTTCTCAGCCAGGACAGACAGCAAACATAACAAGCCTTGCAATTTCTGAAGGCATTTTTAACTTCTGTAACTCTACGCTGCACCAAAAGGAAAACGTATGGAGTGAGAAAGGATATCTCAGTGAAACCTATCACYCCAAAAAGGACAAAGTCTCTGCTTGACACTGTCATTCCAAGCTTCCACAATGGAAACTTGACAGAAACAAGAGGGACCACAATTCCCACAACTACTCCCACAGAACTTTCCATTTTTTGTCTTGGTTACGTTTTGTTACTATATATATATATATATATATATATATATATATATAAACAGACTTTGCATCTAGTTTTCATTAGCATGTCTAATATTCCTCTGTTTATATGCTAGATCCAGAACAGAAGCCATATGTCTACTAGAATGATTCAGATCCCCAAGACCTTAAGAGGAAAAAAATAAAAAAGCTTGAATTAAGAGTTTTCTAGGAAATTATTTCACTTTGTGTGGAAACTGTTTTCATTGTCCACTTCGTGAGAAAGTCCATAAAATTTCCAGTATTGTTATAAAAGTTCCTGTTTATTGTTATAAGTGGTTCCTGAAACCATTGCGGAATTTGGGAAGCCAAAAGATGTGATAATATTTTCAAATATGATTTCCATTAAAGGCTTGGTTTAAAAAGAATCACTGACTTTTGCAGCCAGCATAGCAAATGTTTATGTCAACAACTTCTTTTTCTCAGAGCTCAGTTTTGAAATTATATGGTTTTCATTACAATGCATTCCATGTTCTCATTTCCAACAGTCCTGCTCGTAAAGGCCTGATTGCTTTTTTGGTTTTCCCTGTCAGTAGGGATGCTAAGGAAAGTGAATTGTTGATGGGTTCCTTCCTTCCTTCCTTCCTTCCTTCCTTCCTTCCTTCCTTCCTTCCTTCCTTCCTTCCTTCCTTCCTTCCTTCCTTCCTTCCTTCCTTCCTTC